TTCTGATTGTTAAAATTGGATATATCTTAGGTATATCTTACGTAGATATATATATATATATATATATATATATATATATATATATATATATATATATATATATATATATATATATATATATAGCTACGTAGGTATATCTTACTTAGATATATTCTAGGTATATTTTACGTATAACCTTACATAACGTTAGGTTATAATGGATTAGGTTGTATTGTGTTTGGTTAGTTTAAATTGGGTAAGTTTTAATATAGCAAAAAAACTTTGATGAATGTCTTTCATAAGCAATGAACACTACAAGAGACAAACGCTATAATCTGGATAAGTTTAGATTTAGGAAAGACCTGGGTAAATACTGGTCTTTTGTAAAGACCAGTATTGACCCAGAGTGTTGTTTATTTGTGGAACAGATTACCGGGTAACCAAGCACACGTGCGATCATTTGATTGTTTCAAGCGTAGGTTAGACATATGAATGCATTTGAGTGGATGTAAATAGGAGCTGCCTCATATGGGCCAAAATACCTTCAGAAGGTCCCTCAGTCCATAAGTCTGACGTAATTAGTATTCAAACTGAAAATCTCGCAGTGTACATCTTTCTACCGTCTGACATGATATCGAACGTCATCTTCACTGCACTGTGACTCCCAGTGAGATACAAAGAGCATTACTATAGCATGAAAATAATATATTTTCTGGTTGGTTTAGTCACTGGGATGAACGACAACCACTTCCCTTCCTACGTCAACGACAGTTTTAAGCTGATGTGTAAACAAGGTTTACGGGGCAAGTTTCTAGATCTGCATAACTGCCTCGTGTCAATTCTCGTTGATATCCACATTTTTTTTTTAAACAAAAAGGTGCATTTTTTGTAAAGAAAACCTTGAATATATGACTGCTAGAATCTTGTTAGTACTCGAATCTTGGCGATAAAAAACAATTAATTCCAAATTATCCAGGTGTAATTATAGACGATTCAGGTGTAATTATAGATTATCCAGGTGAAATTATAGATTATCCAGGTGTAATTATAGACAATTCAGGTGTAATGAAGAGAGATATCAAAGAACTTTAAGACTCAGTCTGTTTTATAACGTAAACTAAGAATTCATTTAGAAATCTGCACTACAATTTGCCCGAAACGCTATGCGTATTAGTAGCTTTAGGTATTGTATGTACTAGCTCTATCTATAAATCCAACATTATGTTTGTAACTCATCATCTAAGTATGTACTTTTACCTCAATAAATATTTGAATTTGAATTTGAATCTGCTGCCTCGCCCTAACGAAGGTTGGGGAGTGTGGTGACCTTGGCAATCCCTTGGATCCGCTTGGGGATGTGATCGCCTGAAGAGACGCCTTTACATAAGAAGAATTATAATTAGGATAGAGAGGGATAGGAGGAAGGGGAGACAGGGATAAGAGAGAAATGGGGAAAAGAGTAGGGAAAGAGAAACGTGCGGATATATATAGAGAGATAGAGAAACAATATAGTTAATATCTAATTATCATGACGACGTTTCAGTCCGTTTTGGACTATAATCAAGACTTTATAAGGGTCGAGGATGGACCGAAACGTCGTCACGACGTGATAAGGGTCCAGGATAGGCCGAAACGTCGTCGTTTTCCTTTCATCTCATGCGTGTGTCTGCCGAGTTATCCCAAGCATTCTCTGTGACAAATTCAACATTCCGAGGATAAGTTTCCGTTGTTTACTAGTTAAGAAAATGCTAATAGGCTCCATTACGAATGTCTCTGAATAACGTCTAATATTTCTGACGCTATTTTCAAGAATTTAAGTGAAATTAATGTGTTTTAATTTTTATGCAACATGAACTCTGATGGGATATAAATGCTTTATGCAAGCATTATACGCAATAAGTTTTTATATCATAGACCTTTTTATAGTCGATATCTGATGAATTGCGACCTTTGGAAGGACGAACCTTCCTGCTCTGGAGAAATACCACTTGAGTACTTGATATTTTCATCTACCTTTGGTATTTGAAGGTAGTCGGTTCAAGGCCTATCTCAAGTGTTTACAAGACGCCTCCTGACAGCAAATTCCTTTGTTTTTTGTTTAACTAAGTGCCTTTTTGGGTAATGTTAAGGTCTAATACTTCATTTAACAAAGGTTCTCTTGAATAATGTCAAGGTCCACAGTAATTATGCATGACATTAAATTAGCATTTATTTTATTAAATCTCTCTTTCAGATTGCCAAATTAATTTTTAATTCAATTAGATGAAAATTCAGACTTGAATCACTATATAGTCATTACAAACTCGTCCTTTCTCACCACTGGACGTGAGAACGGACGAGTTCTGAGTTGTGATTGGTTGATCTGCGTTTGGACGAATCCTGATTTGTGATTGGACGAGTCCTGATTTGTGATTGGACGATTTGCGATTGGACGATTTGTGATTGTACGATTTGCGATTGGGCGAGTTCTGATTTGTTGACCAAACCACACACTAGAAAGTAAACAGACGACGAGGTTCCGGTCCGTCCTGGACCATTCTCAAGTTGATTGTGACTTGTATACAAAGTGACTGTGCAGACCCTGAGGCTAAATAAACTAGACAACCCGCCTAACATATCTAGGCCGCTAAAGCGTCAGTATTACGATATTTTTCATTTAACTAAACCATAGTAAATTTAACGTTAGAATGGGAAACGTAAAAAATGCAGTGCAATAAGTGTGAGGACGACAGGTTGCATAAATACCTCAGATCGCTTCAAGGAAACTCTAATAATAATTTAACCAAACTCATTATCAACAAAGCACAAAGAAGCAGCATTAATGATGTATCAACGATAAAATCAACTGGAACCATGCTGGATACTTGCACCAACAACATAGGTACTCCAAACTCTCGCCTTAAACTACTGAACTATGATATCTGTGGTTTAAAACGTACGCCTGGGAGGCATCCGTGTTGCTGGTTCGAAACCCCGGCATGGCTCTAATTCATTTTCTCAATACGAACTACTCAAAAATTATTTAAAAATATTGCAAATATTAACAATATCAGCAGTATTTGTTGAGCTTACTAGTATATTTTTTGGAACTAAAGCAAATTTATACATTATTTATCTCTCTCTCACTCTCTCTCTCTCTCTCTCTCTCTCTCTCTCTCTCTCTCTCTCTCTCTCTCTCTCTCTCTCTCTCTCTCTCTCTCTCTCTCTCTCTCTCTCTCTCTCTAAGGTTAGGGAACATTATAAATGTCAATGTTTTTTTTTTTTTTTTTTTTTTTTTTTTTTGAGATATATACAAGAGTTGTTACATTCTTGTACAGCCACTAGTACGCGTAGCGTTTCGAGGAAGTCCTTAATCCTATGGTCCCTGGAATACGATCCCCTGCCGCGAAGAATCGTTTAACATGGTTAATGTTCCTAGTGAAACTGTCAGCTTTTATTCTGTATCGCAGCCTGCCCCTAGCTACTCATTTATTTCATGAACATATTATTTGCATATTTTAGGAATAAACTAACTTTAATGTTAAGGAACAAGATGAGCCAGGAGCCAACTGTGTGCCAGAGCCTTCATGTGTTCCGTTGACTTCATGCATGTTGACGTGTTGAGAGGATAAGTTCCAGATGTGTGTCATTCAAGAAATCGCTGGGGACGCAATGATGATGATCAGATCATCATCATCTTCATCATGATGGATCATCATCCATCAACAGCCTCATACATTGCCAGCATGAGGTTGTTGATGACTGAACGCCTTGAGTTATCAGTACCAACTTTTGGCTATTCAGTTGGACAAGGTGGGAACTTAGAAAACATTTACCATACATGAAGGTTAGTCCACCATCATCTCGTTGGTGTTCTGACCGGCTCAACCACACTGGGTCAAAACTAGAGAGGAGCTCCCTTGCACGAGTCTCCAAGCAGTCCAAAAATTCTGACAAATGATGGGTGCAGTTCAGTAGTGCATTCCACATTCAAGATGAGAGCAAACTTGTGCTTCATATAAGGTTTTACAACATCAGTTGGTTACAGGAAATTGAGAGTGATTAATGAAGATTAAGCCACACAATAGGTGGCATGGGCATGAATAGCCCGTAATGGAAATTTGGAAAAGGTTCGTCATTTATGTTTTGTGTCCAACTTTGTTATATGGTGTGGTGCCCACCCTGGGCTTAGGGTGTGGTGTTAAACCTGAACTTAGGGTGTGGTGCCACTCTGGGCTTAGGGTGTGGTGCCCACCCTGGGCTTAGGGTGTGGTGTTAAACCTGAACTTAGGGTGTGGTGCCACTCTGGGCTTAGGGTGTGGTGCCCACCCTGGGCTTAGGGTGTGGTGCCCACTCTGGGCTTAGGGTGTGGTGCCCACCCTGGGTTTCGAGTGTGGGGTCCATATTTTGTGGACGTCTCAAAACACTAAGAATATACCCCCTCTGAACAGAAGAGGAGATATATAAAATATATACGAAAAAGCCACAGTGAAAAGGGAAATGAGATACAACGTTTTCAGCAGATCAGGTCTTCATCAGTACGACCAGATCCCACATAATCATTCCAAGATAGGAAGTCAGAGGAGCTAAAGATATGGTAGAAAATGCTGAAAAGTTCCAGTGAAGAGTAGAGGAGATACATGCACATCCAGAGAACACTATGAACATCAGAGGTCCACGACTCTTCAACATCCACCCGCCAAATATTAAAAATATTACCAGAACACAAATACAGGTTTTCAAGAGCCAGTTGAACAAGTTTTACAGAAACTGTCTAATCAGGCGGATCGTAATGGCTATGTAGGGCTGCAGGCTGCTTCAAACAACAGCCTTTCGGTTCAAGTTATCACAAGACAAGCTGGGATTGGGAGTGAAGACGGACTCTCGAAACTATCAATAGGTAAACAACAGGTTGATTCTCCCAAATTGGACTGCCACTTGTAATTATCGATTTCTTCCTCTTCAGTATTTTGTAGACAATCGAATACAATTTATCTTATGAGAGCTTATGTGTGTGTGGTTCTTATAACAAAACTATTTGCAATTTTAATAATTTATTAAACATTTGTACAAAAAATATACAATGATCATAGCTATAATATGTTTGAGAAATCGTTTCTCGTCCTGCCGTTGAACTACTGTTGCAGATCAACAGAAAATCAACCGAGACTCCAGTAATGACAGCAATGTGGCAAACATCAGCCGAGGAACTGAGAGGGTAGCCTGCTTGCCAGATGGGCTAGCCCACCTGCCAGATGGTCTATCCCACCTGCCAGATGGTCTATCCCACCTGCCAGATGGCCTATCCCACCTGCCAGATGGCCTATCCCACCTGCTAGATGGCCTAGCCCACCTCCAGGTATTACCTTGATCCAGTATGTGTGTAACGTATTTTGAGATACAATGCTTCAGTGACTGATTTTACGAAACAAACAAATATCAATGATTTAAAGAGCACATACAAATTATAATTTAGAATTTATAAGCTTCTGAATGAAAATATTTTATTTTCCTTTATTCTAGAAAAGCTATGGATAGAAAAGTAATTTTACAACACATATGCTAAACAATTCTTATTTTATTTGTTTTGATTTGATTTTTTTATATATATAACATTTCTCGGTAGTATTTTTGTGGGGGTTTTAATATTTTGTTTTATCATTGATTTTTGTTACCAAAATTATTACTAATTTTCTCCTAAAAAATATTTAATCTCTGAAGTAGCTGAATTATTTGATAAAAATCGTATAAATTCATGAAAAAATCAATTTTGGGTTGAATTCATCTTGTCGCGAAACAAGAATTGTTAAATTACTTTTGGAAACAATATTAAATACAAATATTTTGACTTAAAAAATTTTGTTTTATATATTTTTATAGATTTTCCCTACCCCTTGTGGTTTTCAATTGAACTACATCTAATAACTTTTTTGTAACATTTTACTTGCGATCTGTTATGTGACATTAACTCATGGAACTATGCAATATAATCACCATGAGGGTTTTCTTTGTATTAGAAGTATAAAGTAACAATGCCCATGTATCCGACTTCGATCGATAAATGAGATTCGAAGGAGAGATAGATAGATAGAGTGAGAGGCAGAACAATAGATGGAGACAGACAGATGGAGAGAACCCAAGAAGCATCTTGGGGGGAAAACAATTCACCTCATCCATTCACGATCGTTAATCACGTTAGATGAGACACATAAACATCTTTCAAGGAGTCACTCGTAAGAGTGACATACATTAAGTCAATGAGTCTATTTTTCTATCGATAGATTTCTTTGTCTTACGGTGTAAACATTGCATCATTCGAGGTATCTTGAAAGTAAGGCTGAAAGATTATTTTTTTTTGTATCATACTTGGAGACTAGATATCACTAGACGACCCAGCACATCGTTACCGAGATGACAGCGGTGTTCGTTGTTGATCTTGAAGACGTTGCCACACTCTCACGACAAGTATGGAGCCTCGTGGAGCAAGGAACCGGAAGGAAGACTTCGACGAAGCGTAGATCTTCCTTCTAGTGCAGGACACTTCGGTAGCGGTCTTAGGGAAGAATGGGGGGACGGTAACATGGACCTCTGCGAGAGAGAGAAAGAGACAGAAAAAGAGACAGAGAGAAGATAATAAGTGTGAATGGCTTAAATAGTGGGGTGTGACATAGGGGGAATTTAAAATAATCAAGATATACAGAATATGGAAATTTGTGAGAGTAATTTAGTGATGCAATATGAGGAAATCCTCTTTGTTGATCACTTATTTGCAAGAAAAAAGACTAGATCACACTGTAGGTTCTTGGAAGCCTTCAAGCGGTTTAAACAGCAAATGATCTCCTTAACGTAGTTCGAGGAAAACGTCAGGAAGAAACTAGAAAATCAGCAAGGGGTAAGAAATGTAAACAGGAAGTGGAAAACGAAACAAAGGAATAAAGGAATAAAGAGACAAGAGAATTTAAGTAGCAGTGAACTTGAATCGATGACCAAGATTGGAGCGAGAGAACTCAAGGTTTCCAGGATAGTCGAAAAGGTTCTGAGGCCCAGGGTAGGGGGTGGTGGTAGTTTGAGGATTAATGGCTGGTCTTGGGACATGCTGAGGTCGAGGCTGTGGCAGGGGCTGTGGCAGCGGCTGTGGCAGGGGCTGTGGCAGGTGCTGTGGCTGGTGATGGGGCTGAGGCTGAGGCTGAGGCTGTGGCTGTGGCTGTGGCTGGAACTGGGGCAGGGGTTTTACCACGGGCGTTGAATCATGGATGTTTGAGTTGGTAATCCTGAAGCCAATTCCTTGGCCGGCTGAAAGGAACCAAATATTAATTTGCCTCGAATTGATTTTCATAAATTTTCATCGAAATTAAAAGAACAAAATTTAATATTAATTAAAGGCCAAATTATTTATGAATTTTAGATTGCAGAGGCCTTAAATACATCGTGAATAATTATTTAAAATACTAAAACATTAATTGAACAATATTAGCTTCCGGAAGTTACATCATGTAAAATGGGAAGAAAATACGACTTATTGTGATCAAAGAACACATGACATACAGAGCCTCAAGAACATGAACATTTACAATCTGCTGTAATCGCCAATAATTGAAAAGTTCACTCTAATTTACAGCTAGTGTTACAATTCAACATGAAACTAATATGCTACTAGTGAAGCTAAAAGACATGCCCAGGAGATCAGATCCACTGGAATGAGATCACATCTAATGGAAATATAATCAGATCATGTCAAAAAAATAAATAAAATAATCCTAGATGTGAAGTCAGAGGATTAACTTCGAGAAGAACTAGGTAGAAAAGCAAATGAATATGCAACAAACTCAAGTAGTCTGTGATTGGCTCTAGGATTCATCGCATCAAAGAACTTAATCTCGAACTCAACAAATAATTCATCTTCGAACTCAACAAAGCATTCCTCTTCGAACTCAACAAAGTATTCCTCTTCGAACTCAACAAAGAATTCATCTTCGAACTCAACAAAGAATTCATCTTCGAACTCAACAAAGAACTCACCTTCGAACTCAACGCGGTGAACCTGGCCTCCGTCCGAAGGGTACTCCCAGTACCCACGCCGAATACCATTGGCATCAGTCTCTTCGAAGTACTTGATTCCATCTTCCTGGTCACGGTAGTTGCCGAAGGTGGCGCCATCTTGGTACCTCTTGTCTTGCAGGATCTTGACGAAGCCGCTTTCGAACTGAGCGTAAGCCGCCGCCACCACACACAACAGAATCTGTTGGGTGCAGGAGAGTTGGTCAGTCTAAGCATCTTCCAACCAAATACGTCATGTACGGAAACGACCAATATGTTAAAAATATAACGTATTTGTAAGAATTAAAGTAACGTAATATTGACGTTTTCTATGCATTGTCCTGGACAATCTTCAGGACTGTAGTATACTTGCTGGGTGGTTAGAGTAAGCTCTTGTGTATGGCCTTAATAACACCTCCCGCAATTGAAAGGCCTTAAGTACAACACCAAACAGGACACTGTACATGAGCAACCCGTTCTCGCACTTTCGTATAGTCAATATTGACTTATTAAATACGTGCATATGTGACATACTAAACATACTAGTTTACCTTGAAAAGCTTCATAGAAAACACCGACCTTACCTAACCTTCTTAGTATGTTAAGATAAGCATCTTATTGCTTCATAATTACAATTATTACTTAACCTATTATAGGTATAGGTTAAGTAATAATTATAATTACGAAGCAATAAGATGCTTATCTTAACATACTAAGAAGGTTAGGTAAGGTCGGTGTTTTCTATGAAGCTTTTCAAGGTAAACTAGTATGTTTAGTATGTCACATATGCACGTATTTAATAAGTCAATATTGACTGTAAGAAAGTGCGAGAACGGGTTGATGCATACATAACACACTGCAGGCTGCCTCCCATCATAGCTCTCTCTCTCTCTCTCTCTCTCTCTCTCTCTCTCTCTCTCTCTCTCTCTCTCTCTCTCTCGGTCAGCAGCTTCCAAGGTCTTGCCTCAGACCAGGAAGGATGAGATCTACCAGTGTCAAGGTGAGCATCGATGAGAAAGTTTCCACATTACGAGTCATAGCATGCGCCAGTGGAGACCTTGATTGTTTATGACGCCACCTAATCCCTAATATGCCACGAACTGTCTAACAAACACACAATGTGACCATCACGTTTTAGCATTCTGCCAACGCTACTAAAAGTTGTAGTAATAGACCTACACACAGAGAAGGTAACTGACCTCTGGGGAAACAGACCTACACACACCTGTGAAGGCAGACCTTTCCCTAAAAGGTACAAGTCAGCAGACCTTCCTCCACGGATACAAAATGGCTGACTATCTCCCACTGAGTAACAAGACTGACCTTTCACCCACAGTTTCACCATGGTTGATCTTAGCTCACGAATCAAAGGTCAGACTCAAGTAAGGACACAGACACTTAAGCTAGAGAAAATTCGAATCTAAATTACCGACAATTTGCATAAGCAATTCTTTGTGATTTTAGGTTTTACAGAACTTTGAATTATTAAATTGATAAAGCAAACTACATTAATGATAATTGAATTATAATAAGGATAGTTTTTGGTTTATATTAATAGTAATTTTACTCTATAAATGATAATTTATCTGCTAAGATAGGTATAAATTTCAACAGCAAAGTCATTCATTGAAGTTTTCCAACTTTTCTTCTACTGATTTTAATTTAAAGCCATCAGCACTGAGGGCTCTCAAGGCCACCGCACAAGCCTAGTGACCTACCAGCGAGTATACCCGGTATACCATAGCCTTAAATGTAGTTCATGACTATAATAAACTCTCAAATGTATATACACCTAGAAGTTTCATACACTTCTCGATGCATATATTCATCGTGCCGAAGAACTTGCACAAACACGAATATTTAGAAACAAATCCACAAGGGCCGTGACGAGGGTTCGAACCTATGTCCGAGAGGATCCCAGACGTGTAACGAATTTAGCGTCAAACACCACATATCGGGTTTACGCCAAATGATGCAGCACTTATAAACTAGGGCACACCACGAGAGCTACCCACCAAGGTCCTCATGCTGCCTCGCTGTCTCTTGCTCCACTGGCCGCTGCTCCAGCCTCGCCTGGTATATATAACCCTCCGGACACCCCCGTCGACCTTGCTGGAGTTGCCAGAGACTAAAGAGGAAGAAGGACTGGTTCCTACTCGACCGCAGCACGAAATCAGATGGGACAAGTGCGTTGTGTTAATGGTCCGCTTCAACAATGGTGTTGTTATCCGTTCGTCGCTGCTTTGAATATATTTGAATTGCCAATGAAAAATTATCAATATAATTGGGTTTTTCTCCTTCTTTTGTGCAGGTAATTGAAGGCTCTAATGTCCCCCAGCTCCGATTTGCTTATGGAAAACAAATGCTCGCGTCTTTTTGTCCATTTGCAGCTCAGGCACTTGTTTTGCTTCTTAAACAGTGATAAGGTTAGAGTTTGTTCTCAGGTGAGGCCATGCGCTGCGGAGGGTAACTGTTGTATATGTGCTCGTTCACTAAACTTTATGTTTAGCGAATAATATTATGTTCTGTGAGGGTATTGAGGCTAAGGTACTAGTCGAATTTCCCATGCAGCAGGAGGTGATGCAGCGCTTAGAGCCTCGTCCCAGGAACCCCGCCTTCGACCAACGACATTTTCTGTCAGGCAAAAAAAAATCCAGTAACGCAAGGCAGAAATACCAAAGAACCACCCAATGATTCCCTCCCCGCCTTCCCTTCACACCCTCTTCGTCAGGAGAGGCGATAAGGTCGTGAGGGACACCGATACACGTGAGACTTGCGCTAAAATGGTGTGTGTGGTTTTGGCGTAGCGATGACGAACGAGGAGGGCGTCAGGAACGCATTAGAGAAGTTCACCTTGTGGGCGAGGTGAGCTCACCTTGCCTCCTTCCCTCACTATGGCAGCCCCTGCTTCAAGGTGACGTGGCGCCCCTCACACGGTGTTTACAGAGGGCGCTGCCGGACGGGTCTCGTCGTGGGCGAGGAGCGGGAAGAGGGGTAACTGCGCTGTAACTTTGTTGTGAACAAATACGCTTCGACCCGTTGTGTATACTGTATTATGTCCTCCAACCTGTTGTTATAGCTTATTGTATTCTACTGCACTGTTCTGTACTGTACTGTATTGTATTGTTCTGTACTGTACTGTTCTGTACTATATTGATCCACACTTTACTGCACTATCAACTCGGAGGAAGTGCTCGCATCTTATAGAGTATATTCATTGTGTGATAAAGCAGATCCTGTGGTATAGAGGTCTACGTTCTCGACTCATAATCGAGAAACCGGGTTCGATCACCGGGCGTAATAGTTGGGCATGTTTCCTATCACTAGATGCCTCTATTCACTTAGCAGTAAAGAGACACCCGGGAGTTAGCCAACTGTTGTGGTTAGCATCCTGTGGTAGGACAGTAGTTCGACCTTGGGGAGGAATTCGATAAGAACCAAAGAACAGGTTTCATGTGCCGACAATCTGAATTATTTTCCCCAGACTGTATTTCTTGATTTTGAATTGTCAAGCCTTTGATTTGATTTATTTTATGCTTTGCGCTCTATCAACGAAACACAGCGTGTGGGGGGGGGGGTCGCTCTATCAGCTTTAGTCACAAATGTGATTTATATTCCTACTAAACTACAATAATACTAATAATAATAGCTTTATTGCAGACATGGTTTGGTGTTGGGCTTAAGGCCAGTCAACCTTTAGAAGGTCAATAAGGCCTTTGGAAGGTCAGTAAGGCCTTTGGAAGGTCAGTAAGGCACTTGGAAGGTCAGTAAGGCCCTTGGAAGGTCAGTAAGGCACTTGGAAGGTCAGTAAGGCACTTGGAAGGTCAGTAAGGCCCTTGGAAGGTCAGTAAAGCTCCCCCCCCCCCCACAATACCTTACTCCCAAATCAGTAAGTATACTTTAGTATTGAGCTGAGTGTAAGACTCAGGTAAACTCTATGTATATATATACACCGAGAAATACACAAACAAGATAGACCTCTCGGTGTATCCCTTGTAAACATCAGTCAGTACATATATACATATATACGTCAACTTGTGCAAAGTTTACATTGGTTATTAATAAGAGATTATAGTATTCCTCTGGTGCAATTGTGAGGACCCATAGCATCGGAGAAGAGAATAAAAGGCATTCAGGAAAGACCTTGCATGTTACCTCTGAACGCTTATTGAGTATTTTCGTCTCCTAACATCTTTACTTTTTATGCCTAAATTTATGTATTGGTACATAAATTACGACTAGTTAATTAGTTTTATTTGTTTATTATAGATCGAACGGATAGTTAATGAATCCATGTTTCCCATTTTTTCTTAAACTTGCAACATCTTGGAAAAACAAGGCAAGTAAAATTAAATAAATAAATAACAAATTATGAAAGAAAACGAGGAAGTATGAACAATTTAGTTAAAATGTCAGGGGTAACTCGGCCAGGTCAGCAAGTCCGCTCTCGGAGCAATGTCTGTCTGTCTGTTTTTTCAAGACAATGGGCTAATTATTGTATTTGTTATTCGACGCTCAGACTGTTAGTCAAAAGCTCTGTGTCATGTGGTGTGTCATGTGTCATTCTGGGCAGATGTGTCACTCTTGGTAGGTGTGTCCCGGGTCCCTATGGGAGCTGCCTGACATGTTATCGTGTGGTTAAGCTACATGAGTTATCCTAGGCTGATATATTATCCTGCACGTCTCGTTTGACCAAGGAGCGCATATCCAGTCACGAGTCCCACCTTATCCACCATCTACTCTCGTGTGGCTTAGTTAGGTCACTGGCTTCCCGTCCACGTCGAAGCCATTAGAGTTTACCTCAGTTTTCCTAAGGGATACTATCTCCCTAGTGGCCTGGGCGAGGACAGGGAGCCGGCGGCTTGTCTAAAGTCTCGCCCTCATGTTCCTGAGGAATATTTTCCTGTCTGGATTGACATTTACATCTTCGTCGGCGGGTAGGCAGTTCCATGGGTTTAATAATTTCCGTTGTCCGATGACAGGCAGCCTGTAAATATATATTTACTTTAGGCTTGTGTCAAGGTCCCTGACAGCCCGGACCGTCCCCAGAATGCAACCCCACAACAATTGCCTAACTCCCGGTCACCTATTTACTGCTAGGTGAACAGCCGCATTAGATGAAAGGAAACTTTCCCAACAATCTTTGTTACGGGAAGAGAACCTTGGATTCTCGATTGTGAATCAAAAACGAAGTCAACTGTACACTCTGTGGTTGAATAAACATCTGTTTTCTCTCCAACATTGCAACTTGTTGAGTTTGAAGCTCCAGAGGTTGCTATTGTTAGCATAATCTAGCGCTGATGTTACCTGTATAAAACAACTATGCCAAACTTGTTCCTGAAATTACACGGACCGTCTGGTTTGGTTTGGCTGGCCGTAAGGTTAAATTTATTTGGGCACTCCTTCAAGTGTATATATATCCTTCAAGACGACTTGCTTGAGATTCCGCAATATATTTTAGATAACATTTGTTTATTTTAAGAGATGTTCCAGAATTATGCACATTCAGTATCGTCACGTGATACAAATTTAAGGTACAGTGTAGTAATGAAATCAACGACAAATATTAATCTATTAAGTTACCGCCTAAAAGTATACATTTTCTAAAATAACGTTGAAAAAGAAAACTCAATTTTTCTTAGGGTAAACAAAACTAAAACTAAATATTACACTGACAAGTTCTTCTAATTATAATAATATTTTATTTAGGAAAAGTACATACATAGATGCAGAGTTACAAACATTCTGATTGATTTATAGATAGAGCTAGTACATGCAATACCTAAAGCCACTAGTACGCATAGCGTTTCGGGCAAAACGCCCCAGAAAATTAATTCAATTTAAAATTTAACGAAAATTAATTCATTGTGTCGGGGTACAGGCAGCCAGAGTAACCCCACAACAGATGCAACCCCACAACAAGCTGACTAACTCCTGTGTACCTACTTACTACTAGGTGAATAGCTGCATTAGGTGCTGGAAATGCGCCAAACTATTTCTGGATTATACGTCGAGAACGAACTCGAGTGTACTACCCGGTTCCTTATGATACTACAAATAACTAATAAATAATTGGCGTATAGGAGGGAGTCACTACTAAGGTTTTGATTGGTCCTTCACATGTTTCTCAGTAACGAGTACGTTGCTGTTGTTTGTTCCGCTTGTGTTAGCCATTTCTCAGAAGTTATGGGTCATTGATCAATAATTTAGCACAAGTTGATGTCTGATTTAATATATTTCTCAGAGGTTATGGGTCATTGATCAATAATTTAGCTGCAGATGGTGTAGCCTCCTCCCTACCTCTCTCCTTATCTCTGAATATTCTTGTGTTCAGTATTTCCAACACAAAGATTCCAATTCATAATGGGACCATTAAGTTGGTAAACAAGGTTTACCAACTTGTTGGAGAAAGAATATAGCAAAGGAGGCAGCTTATGCATGGAGAATAGCAATTAGACCTATGTCAACACCTCTTTACTTAGAATGAGGTATAAGTTCATCATTTGAACTTAGAAATTAAGATCTTAAAAGTTCTCCATTGTGAGAAATCAACCTTTCTCACCCCACCCAAAAAATAATAAAAAATAAAATAGAATCATTTACATCTGTATTCACCAACGAGCACACACTTAAACACATCTTGGGTCGACTTAATAATGTTAACGTCTTAGAATTACCGGCCGTGTAGCCTCGTGGCTTAAGGGTGAAATTACAGGTTGTGTTAGTGAACGTGTGGAGGCCGGAATTCGTCCATTAGCCTCGCCTCCAAAGCCACGATTCTGAGGGCCAACACTGATATCTAATTTGCATGATTTGCAAGGCGATAAACAGCATTCGAACGGGTAGAAGACTGCAGGATTTTTGGCTTGGGGGAGAGGAGGTGGGCGGAGGATGTAGAGAAGGAAGAGGGAGTGAGGAAAGAAGGAAGTGGAAGGCAGGAAGAAGACTGAGAGAAGATTGAGGAAGGGAGAAATGTAGAGACTTGAATGAGAGAGGGGAGGGAGATAGAAGATTGAGAGAGGGAGGGAGGGAGGGGGTGAAGGAGGGAGAATGTTGATAAAGGGTGGATTGAAAGAGGAGACAGATATAAGGATGAGAGAGATAGAGAGAG